CAAAAATTAGAAATGAGAAGACAACAGAGACTTCCTAGGCCCGGGCAATGCAATTTTAAAAAAGGCAAGAAAGCAATCCAGCCAACTAGGCATTGATTACCTAGCAGACACCTGCACACCAAAGAAACTAACAAGATAACCCCAAGAACAGATAAATTGCTACGCATGCAGCTGGTGGCACACTGGTACAGTCAGTGGTAGCTGGAAAGGACATAATCAGTCCTTCCCAGCTACCAAAATGAGCACCTCTAAGAGAATAAATACACTGCAAGTTAACCAAACAACATTTTTAAAAAAATCAGTCAAACAGGGAAAGCACATGCACTGGAAATCAGCTGCAAAAGATTGTACTTGTATACTCACTGTTGTTAGCTTTAAATACTGCCTTTTAATGATGTATAGCACTTTGGACCCTTTTCAAGGAGAAAGGTGGGGTAAAAAAATATCTTAAATAAAAATAGAAAGCACATCTCTTTCTCTCCCCAAACCAAAAAAAGGAAGCAAACAAAGGCAAAAAATACAATTAAATCCCTCCCCCACACCAAAACTATTGTACAATATGGGGGGAATTTTCCTCCCCCTATCACTTGATGCCTTTTCTTCTTTGAGACCAGCAGGCAGGCAGAAACAAAAATTAGCCTAGAAAGAAAAGGATCCCTGCCTCCCCCTCAAAGACCAGAGGGGAGACATAACCCCAAAGAGACACACACTAGGACAGCTGGGCTGCCGGTCAGTAGCAAAAATGAGCCAAAGAAATGGAAAAACGTGCCCACACCCTTCCCCAAATCAAGAACATAGAGCAAAAGAATCCAAGATGGAGGCACAAGGAGGAGCTCAGCACCCAGCCATCCCAGAACGAATGACTGAAGGAAAGAGCCCTCCTTCCTCTTGTTGTGTTCCAGGCCATTTAAAAGATTCAAAATTCTTGTTCCCCGGACCTTCCGATGGGCTGCTGACCACCTTTTCAACGCTATGCCCCCCTTCCTCTTGTTGTGTTCCAGGCCATTTTCAAGATTCAAAATTCTTGTTCCCCAGACCTTCCAATGGGCTGCTGACCACCTTTTCAACGCTATTGGATGAAAAACTTCTCGGGTAATTAAACAAAGACTTGAAAGAAAGGGCACCAAAAGGTTACAGAAAAGAAGGCACACGAAAGAAACACGAAGATTTTGTGTACTCTTCTGTAAACATAGGATCATTTGTATTTGGGGCTTCTCTTTCAGCCATCGCCAAAAGAACATACTGTGCAAAAGAGAGGGTTTTTGTGTTATTTTTTGAGTATTTTATTGAGAGTCAAAATCCCGATTAAAGTGATAAATTTGAGTGCCTGAATAGAGTTCATAGATCTTCCACACCCCAGGCTGTCTTCAATGTCAACAGTATAATTTGGGGGTGGGGGGGAAGGATGATGATGATGGTTTTCGTTACCTTAATGACTAAACAACAACAACATATAGGAAGAATGATGATGATGGTTTTGGTTACCTTAACGACTAAACAACAACAACATATGGGGCGGCATATAAATTAAATAAATAAATATACAGTATAAACAACTGGGAATCATAAATCATTGCAGACTTACTCCAGATTTAAGAGACAAGGAAAACTTTCTGAATTCTGTAAGAAATGAGACCACCCACAGGAAAAGACTGGGTTTGAGGCAAAGAAACTTCACCATCTCCACCAACTACACATTTGCAACACTGGGCTGGCTTGCTCTGAAGTGCCCAGAATATCCACAGAGATGATCTGGGAAAGATGCCTTTCAGGACAGCTGAGATTTTTTTTGTTTGGTCCTAGATCTCAGGAGTGTATTTATTTAAAATAATGCATTGCTTCATAGCCAATCAGGCTGCACACATAAACAGAATCTAAAACACTCTTTTAAAAAAAGTATTTGACATTATAAAAAAACATACAAGCAATCAGAAAAGGAGAATAGAATTATTAATCTAAAATATTTTTACCCCACCTTTCTCCTAAAAAAGGACCCGAGGCAGCTTACATCATTAAAAACACCCTTGAGCTGGCAAACAGTTTCCCGACGCATTGCTTACCTCTACTGCTGCACAGATGTCGGGAGAGCAAATTTCCCAGATCCGAAGCTCCCCCAGCACTTTCAAGAAAGTGAGCGGTCGGATGCGCAGGTCCGGATTCCTCGCAAACCGCTCCAGTTTCTTTAGAATTTTCTGGGTGCGGTGGTCTCTCCTGATATCTTCTGGGATCTTGTTCAGCAAGGTGGAAAACCTTAGCAAAATCGCAAGAATGCAAGCTTTAAAAATAATTTTAAAAATCAATGGCTGGAATCTGCTTCGTTGTGGTGTGACGTTACACTGGTGTAACTTTGCTGGGTGTTAAGACCCCAGAAAGCAGGTGGCGCAGTCTGACGAAGTGGCTGGTCCTGTGATTCCCATCCCAACGTCTTAACGAACGGCGCCTCCTGCCTCCATGCTATTGCCGCTCTGTCCTAGGTCGGGTTCTAGCAAGTTATCCGTGGGCTGTGAAAGCCGCTGGGAGCTTTTGGCTTCAGAGAGGCCACGGGGCGGCCCTTCAGCTGGCCCCGCGTGGCAGCTGCCATCGCTCCTCACCACGGACCCTGCAAGGCAGAGCTGAATGGCTGCTGCCACCAGAGACCCGAGATGCTGAACCCTAAAAGCAAGAACGGCTTCCGAGTGCCGTTCCCTGGCGGCTGGTATTCAGGGAGCTACGACACTCCAGCCGTGTCTGGGGGACTGGAGCAGAACAGGGGAGACCAATTCCAATCCTGCCTGTGTCATGAAGCTCACCGGGACAGGATCACCCCTGGGCCACTTTGTTATGTCTCCACCTATCCTCCCTCACGGGGTTGGAGAGAGTAAAAGGGCAGGAAACACACAGAGCATATGGAGCTCCTCGGAGGAAAGGAGGAATGGAAGCTGGCCCCCTCCCAAAGACTTTGAAGGTGGGGGTGGCCTTTTGTCATCCTAGCTGACAGGCCATAGGCCCTCCTGGAGGGCGGCTTTCCTGCAGGGTCCTCTATCTGAGACCCAGTTCGAGTCACGCCCTTTATCCCTCTTTCTTACCAGTTCTCAGCCTCGGCATCCTGTTCCGGTTCTCTCCCTACGACCGACTGTCTCATCCTCTCCAGGTCCTTTCTGAACTTGGTGATCTGGCGCAGGCACAGAAACTTCTGGATGCTCTTTTCCTCTCGCCTCCTGCCAATTTATCTCGCATGTTTACCGAGAAACGAGGCTTTGGACCATGTTTGAAGGAGGAGGAACAAGAGCCCGGGATCCCCTCCAGGATTTATACAGGGGCGCAGCGCCAACTATGGAAGCTGCTGTGGGGACTGCAGAAGGCCTTGGCCAGATGTGTCCCAACACTCTGTCAGGCGGCCGCCACCAGCAGGCTCTGCAGCTGGAGTTCTGCCTGCGTAAATACTGAACAGGATACCGGCCAAGGTTTATAGAATCCCATGGTTTTTAAGTTCTTCAGTCATATGAAGTGGCTTCTCTCTTACACAATCACAACAGTCCCTTCTCTATCCCTCCCAAACTAGCAAAATACTGCAGCCATGTTGTTCTCTCTCTCTCTCTCTCTGTTCATCTGTCCATCCCCTCCAGCATTCTTTAAGAACTTGTGCTCCCTAGAAGGGCCCGGTGCTGACCAGAGTGGCCGTAAGCCCTGCGGCCCAGCCTGCTGTTCCTCACTGCCACATCACTTGCATGCCACTATGGGCCACTAAGCATGCTACTTAACTTCCAGCCACGCCTCTTCAGCAGCAAGGACTAGAAACTTTAAAAAGTCAAACTTGGAAGTTGAATTTTATGAGCAGTTCCTGACTCTGCATTTTTATCTAAAAATCTGGTGCATGCATAATCTTGGCATGCTGGTGTTCAAGAGAGCATTCACAGCATTGGTTCCTGTGTGGCTGCCGCCCGGCAGTTCTAATAAGAGAAAAAAGGGGGTTCCACCGTTGGAGACAGACTGGAGGCCCACAGTACGTACTTCTCCAGGATGTCCAGTTGGTCGTGCAGCCTGAAGGCGGACTCTTGAGCCACATCAAAAAACAGCTCCTTCACCTTATGGCACAGCTCCTCTTTCCCCCGAATGAAGGAGCTAAAGGAGACAGCGCAGAGGGACAATTTAAGAGCTTCTGCAGAGATAACAGGCAGAGACACTTGCTGTTAATAGTGCACAGACATAAACGCCTATTGGTGCCTGTTTTCAAACAGCCCTCTTGGTGGAAAGTTTGGAAAGCAAAGGAAGACAGTGGGGCTTAAGCAAAGATTTTGGGCCCCGACTGTTCATGATGACACCTCTAGAGGGCGCCAGGGGTTACCGATCCACAGTATTATGACCTTATTCTCTGGGTTTATTAATTGAGAAAAATCTCAGTTTTTGGGGGTTTCATTCCGGCAGAATAGCAACAACACTTTATTCACTGGCGCACACAGGAAGGGGGGAAACGGAAAGGAGTAAAGACACTTAAGGCCCTTTCCTATATAAGGATAATCGAATGTTTCTTCCTGGGATGTGCGCCCCCTTCTGCTCAGGCCTGGAATGATTTAATGCAGTGGCTCCCAAGTTTAAGGGCATCAACGCCTGGAAGCCTTAATCCCGGGCACGAGACTGGCTGTGGCAGCTAGAGGTTCTGGGAGTTCAAGTCCAAACATATCTGCTCCCCCCGCCCCCCAGTTTGGGGCTTTAATGGGTTCTGGGTCTGGAGCCCTGAACTATCATGGCTTGGACCTGCTCCCACTACCACCCGTTCCCTGGTGCAGGCGGCTCTACCCACCCCCTCCATCACTGCCTGGTTCTTGATCAGAGTCTGGAAAAATGACTTGGTCTTTGGCTGTGTCAACTAGCCGGGTTTGTGGAAGTTGCAGTCCCCCGCCCCCCAAAACGAACTTCTCTTAGTTCTGGTCAGGACAAGCCTCCACGGATAGGTGTGTCTGCTGGCCTTGCCCCCCTCCCCCTCGTTGAGTTGGAGGAGTTTTTAGGGTGCAAAGCAGCAGCATTCGGCTGTCAAGCGTTCCTCTTGCGGATCCTGTCTAATGAGGAATTTATTTATTTATTTATTTGATTGTCAAGCGTTCCTCTTGCGGATCCTGTCCAACGAGGAAGAAGGCTGGCCACTTCCTCTCACTTTGTGAAGCGTGCAGAACACTTTGCTTCCCCAAGTGGGAGCGTGGAAGGGGAAAATCCAAGAGCCTCATGAGGTCGGTTCCCTAAGAAGGCTGGCCACTTCCCCTCGCTATGTAAAGCGTGCAGAACACTTTGCTTCCCCAAGTGGGAGCGTGGAAGGGGAAAATCCAAGAGCCTCATGAGGTCGGTTCCCTTACTGGTGGCTGGCAGGGTAGGCACCCCTGGTTTCAGAGTCCTGCCTGAGCGTCTGGGCTTCCTTTTGCCCAGAATCCCTTCGGCTCCCTGCCACGGAGTCAGCAACAGCCCTGCATGTATGCCTAGCCCCTCTTCCCAGAGGCCGTCACAGGCTGTCCCCAGAATCCCTTCGGCTCCCTGCCACGGAGTCAGCAACAGCCCCGCACGTATGCCTAGCCCCTCTTCTTCCCAGAGGCCGTCACAGGCTGTCCCCCACCGGGAGGAGAATCTCTCCAAGGGAACCCTGGGGGAGACTCTCAAGTCCACCTGCCCTACCTTTGAGGTCGACTGATGTGCTCTGAGCTGCTTCCATCCCCGTACGTTGTGGTTTTGTCCTCTCTCAGGGTCACGGCTAGTGAGCTTTGGGGAAACAGAAGCCAGCCGAAGTCTTTAATGCAGGGGAGGTCAAACCCACACAGCACCCACCCCGTTTCCTCCTCCTGGCGAGCCGCACCCAATCCTTTTTGAGGGCCTTCAGAGGGGTGTGAAGGGTACTCCCCCCCACCCCAGGTCTTTCCAGAGGCAGAACTTTCCATTTGGAAGGTGGCATATTTTGGGGAGGTTGTGGGGCTACAGAAAGGAGCCACAACCTCCAGGCCCAGTGTCTTGACGACCGACCTCACCTCTTTGGCCTGGGCTCCACTGGGGTCCCTTCTCTTGGGGGAGCTCCTGTGCTGGTTTTTTCATCCGTGGAAGTTGACGCGGCCGAGCTGGAAAGGAAACCCCCCCGTGAGAGAGTTTGATGCCAATTCTGCCTTTCTCCGATGACACTCACGGCAGCGAACACTGTCTGCGGTTGCCGGCCATCCCACCAGACAAAGAACGGTCAGCGCGGGCCTGCTTGGCACCGGCAAGGCAGGCTGCCGAGAGCCACGCAGCCACGCCCGGAGAGGAGCAATGATGCGCTCTCGGCAAGTCTTGTCTCCAGGGCTCCCACCTCACTTGTAGCATCCACAGAAAGAAGCTACTCCCTTGTGAACAAAAACAACCTCGAAAATATGACCTAAAGTGGCAGACAGCAAATGAATGCAAGTCGCACGCCAACCCGGCTCTTTGGGGGATCCCTACCTTTTGGCCCGTTGCCTCGTAGACAAGTCGCTGTCCAGGTCGGATTTCGTCGACAGGGTGTACGAACTGCAAAGCACAAGGGAGAGGACTTGAAGCTTGCAGGCCGCCAGAGCCCAAAGCCAAAGTGTCACAAGACACCCCACACGCGGCTCCGCCCCTTTCGCCCTCTCCCTTTCGCCCGGGCAGCGTGCTGCTTATTCCAATTTGATCCAACTTTTCCATTTCAAAGGAAATGAGGGGAAAGTATTACAACCGGCTTCAAACTGTCAAGACGCTGGATTTGGTGCCTCTGGCACAACTCTTTCCACTGTGAAACCCTCCGGCCCCTCTGAAAGCTGGACCAGGCACGTACTGGAGGGGTTTTGAGCTCCAAAGCAGATTTTCTTTACTGAAATTCTTCGCCACGTCTTCATGAATCATCTGAAGCAATGTCTGGAGGTCTGGGGAAAGAATAAAAGGATGGATAGTAGGATCAAGGTTACACCTAAAGGGCAGCCATAGCAGTCCACTGAAGTGGAAGAGAAGAGTCTTCTGGCATTTAAAAGCAAAGCGTGCTGCTTATATGCCACCATGTAGTGCTTAAAGCACTCTCTGGATGGTTTTACAATTTTTAAAAAATTATGCAGTCTTCATATTCTTCTCTTCCCCGCGGTCGGCAAGCTGGGTACTCAATTTATTGACCTTAGGAGGATGGAAGGCCGAGTGAACCTTGAGCCAGCTACCTGGGATTGAACCCAGATTGTGAGCAGAGTTTTGGCTGCAGTACTGCAGTTTAACCATGGCACCATGAGGTAACTTTTAGTATGGCACGACCCATGTAGCCAAACCAGAGGGAATATGTGATAACCTTCCATGGGGAGGGGTATGTATCTCTGTCTACACTACGATTTCTCATATTCCCACCTACAAAAGCTTTCCACACACACCCCAAGCTGTCAATTGGTTAGGCCTTCGAGTGCCATGAAACCATTTGGTTTTTCAAATAGTCAATAAAACCACCTTTAACCAGTAGGGCACTTTGCCTGCCTGCTGAGCCATACAGCTGATCTCGCACACCTAAGGTAGATCAACAGCCTTCAGTATCCTGTTTGCATTTTACAGATCTCCAAGGAGGGTAGGAGTCTCTCTGTGCCAGCCCTGGAAACGGCAGTTTAGCAAGGAGGCTGATCAAGCCATGGCGCCTCCCATGTTCTCCTCACAGAACTGCAACTTCCAGGCTTTCCTTGGAGAGAAAGCCCTGGCTTTGGAATTGGATTTAATTGGCACACCGTTCCAAGCCTGGAGTGGAGGGCATCCTCCCAAGGCATGTGCTGGGATTTCCCAGCAGGCCACAACTGCCTCATCTCTTCTTTTTGCATTCGGGCTTGGCAGGGGAAACGTCACCTCCACCCGCCGCTTTCCTTCTTTACATTCCAAAAACACCGCGAGTTCTGCTGAGGGGCCGTGGATCAGACGGGCTGCCACTCAGATCCTTTTAAATCTCGTGCCTGCCTGCCGGTCCAACCCTGCAAGGAAGTTCAGACTTTGCAAAGAAAGCCAAGCCAGGATAAGGGCCATACCCCTCACACTTCTTGTGGACTGGTGAAGTGAGGCCAGTGGAACAAATACTCCAAGGTGGCCGGTCAGCTTGACCCTGGGATTCCAAACCTGGCTCAAGAGCGTCCGTGCTCATCCTTGCTCGTTTGCAAATCCAAATTCTTTTTCTCGTTCCAACCTCCCTGGCCGCCATGTCTTTCGCCTCCCCGCCATCTATTCCAACTGAAAGGGAAACAACCTGCTTTCCTGGGAGAGAAGGCCAGCTCTGATGAACCACAGGTGCCAGCTCTTTGCCCAGGAGGTCTACAGATCTCTGGTGGGCCCTTGGAGAAGTCAGGCCTCCTCCTCTCAAGGATCTGACACCTACGCTGGACTCAAGAGCCCCATCTGGGAGGAGCCTGAGATGCCGCTCAGCCCAGGCCAGGCTCCAGACAGGCAGAGCCCACTGGCTGAAATTGCCCCAGGTGGCTGAGCTCCTAGAGACTCACAGTAACTCATCGGCTCTTCCTCCTCCTTGGTCTGCTTGCTGTAGCTGGACTCCAGCTCTTCTACGTCCTTGGCGCTGTCCGAAGGAGGCTGAGCCACCTCGTCAGAGGCGGGCGTGAGCGAGCTGGTGCTGGTGAGCGTCGTTTTGCTGTGCGGGGACGACAGCCCGTTCAGCTTGGACATGCTCATGGTGGAAGGTCTCTTGGGGACCTTCTTGCCGACCAGGCCGCGGAAAGCTGCCTTCTGGGTATATCTTCTGCCCTGAAACAAACGCAATAGAAAACAAAGGGAACTTGCTTTTGGGATGAGTGTCAGCTCGGTGCCTGCATCCATTCTCCAAAGACAAGCTGGTGCAACGGAGGGGCTAAGAAGGTGAGCTGCAGCAACTCAAAACACGCGGTAGCCACAAACCCCATGAGCGGTTCAAGGAGTCCATCATGCTCTCAGCCACAGCCCTCTCACCTATGATTTACTGTAACTATTATTTTTAATTTTATTTACACCCTATCTGTCTTCCAACAACTCAAGGCGACACATAAGATTCTCCTCCTGCCCAGTTTATCCACACAGCAACATCCCTACGGAGCAAGAGGTTAGGCTGAGAGAGAGAGAGAGAGAGAGAGAGAGGCAATAAGGGGGGCCAAGCTCACCCAGGGAGTTTCACAGCCTAGTGGTGACTGGAATCCAAACCTCCCAAGCCCCAGTCCTCCAACCCTTCAGCCAGGACATCGCTGGGTCACGTTGGCCTTGTGGCTCAGAGCTCTGAGTTATAGTCCCTTCACACAGAGGCTCAGGAGCACAAATGGCACATTGTGCTGGAGACCCTGCCCACCAACCCTTAGGTATTCTGAACTACAGTCCCCCAACCACCAACCAGAGGCAGGGACAGGGGCCGTTGCAGCCCAACGGCTCTCAAAGGATTCTGGTTAGAAAAGGCGGCTGCGTTCTGAGCTCTTGCCATTTTCCTTTCCTTTGAACCCCACATCTGACCAAAGTATAACTCAGAGAGAGAGAGACTTTTTTATTCCATACAGTGTTTTCCTGATCTATACAGTACCCTGAGAACTCACAGAATATGGGGAGTGGGGGGAAGAAGCAGGGTTTTTTTTAATTGCGACATTTGCTCTTTGAGGGGCCACCTGAGCATCCACATATCAGGAACTGTGCCTGCATAGGGCCAGGGTCCAGAACTTTATAGAGGGCGAGAGTTTGGATGCTAGCCCCCTGTCTCTTGTCTATAGCATCTACTTGAAAAGGCTGTTCAGAAATTTGGACAATCCTTCAGCAGAGCAGGTGGTAATGACAGAGAAACCAGTACGAAAGTGGACGGATCAAGCAATCTCATGGTGCAGCGGTTCAACTGCAGTAGTGCAGTGAAGCCTCTGCTCATGACCTGAGTTCAGTCGCAACAGGCTCAGGTAGATGGATGGAGGTTGGCTCAGCCTTCCATCCTTCCGAGGATGGTAAACTGAGTACCCAGCCGGCGGAGGGAGGGGCAAGGTGCAGCCTGCGCAATTAAATTGTAACAACAACAAATTAAGATGATGGTGAGCCATCAAGTTGTTTCCAACTTATGGCAACCCTTTCCAAAGTTTTTTTAGTAGTGGTTTGCCCTTCTCTTCTTCTTCAGATGCTCTGGGACCTGGCAGCCTTCCCATGACTACACTCTTTTTAAAATATTTCCTGAGATTACTAAGTGGTTTCTATTTTTCTCATTAAAGAGGTGTACTGCTTAATGAGAAATTTAATTGTTCTGTCTACGTTCTATTAGACCATCCTTGAATTGAGCTGTTAAAAGGACGTTATATTTATAATTATTCTGACTTGTTAACGTAAACACCAAAGAGACCATGGCATTTCTTAAGCTGCACAAAGGACGGGAGAAAATAAGGATTTTCAAGATTTTGGGGAAAATCACACACACATACACTCAAGTGGTTTAGTTGTAAATTTATATATCCAGTTTATATACTGATCTCTAGTGAAGTCGAGTTTGTGTGCTCTGCAGTCAGTGTCCCACAGAGCTGGTATTTTATTTAATGTATTATTTATTTAAAATATGTTTACCCCACCTTTCTACTTAAAAGGAGCCAAGGCAGCTTACATAATTAAAAGGACAATATTTAAAAGCTAAAAACAACAAATATACAAATGTTGAACAGAATTAAACAAGTATCATATTAAAAATGGTAGAAAAAAATCAATACCAAAACACATTTAAAGGCAATAGAGCACAACAATCCAATTTGAAACCCCCTCACTTGGCAGCCATTCACTCAAGGAAAGCTTGCCCAAAGAGAAAGGTCATCACCTGCTTGAGGAAGGACAGCAAAGACGAAGCCAACCTGGCCTCTAGTGGGAGGGAGTTCCAGAGTCTGGGAGCAGCCACAGAGGCCCTCCCCTCATATTCCCATGAAGTGAATCTATGTAGGTGGCGGGACAGAGAGACAGGCCTCCCCTGATTATCTTAATGCCTGGGCAGGCTCATAGGGGGAGGTACAGCCTTTTAGATGGTGTTTATGTTATTATCTTTTTCTAAAGATAATAACATATCTTTAGATATGAGGAAGACCAAGAGATTGAAACATGTTTGACTTACAAGTTGTACGTGTAACTGTCAAATAATACTGGCACATTAATTTTATTACTGTATATACTTCTAATTTCACTTGATTGTATTTGAGTATGTATATTACAATTCTAAGGCAGTTATTATTTTAGATTTGGATAACAGCCTGGAAAGTGCTGGAAATACATTTTTCTTTTGTAATTTTAAGTGTGTGCAGATTCTGATTTGTGCATACTCTGCAACTATTTTCAATGTCCTGTCTTTGTGAATCATCACAAGTCACAGTATGAAATTACTCTGGCTCCGATTATGATAACATCTTGAGTTGAAAGAAGACAACACTGGTCAGCCTTGATATAAAGGACTGGATCACAAAGTGAAGTGAGGACAATGTTAAGATGGGTGAAGAGGCCACGTTTTGTAGGACCAAAACCACCTGGCAGTGCAAGGGAACAGGACAATGTCCTCTTTTCACAGATCTGCTGTGACGTATGCTGTGCCGTCCTTGGTGTTGAGGACAGATTGGAAGGGAGGAGTCATTATTGGTAGAGGTTGCAACCAAGTGGCAACCAGAAGTATTTGCGATAGGATGGGTGTGTATACCCACCCAAAAGTATACTGTGGGGATAAACATGTTGGCTGAAATCGTGCTGCTTAGTGTAGCAAAAGGAGCAGTATTCAGTCCATTCCAAGTGTGCAAATAAAGAGTCACTACTCTGATGTTGGGAAAGTGTGAAGGCAAGAGGAGAAGGGGACGACAGAGGACAAGATGGTTGGACAGGGTCATCGAAGCTACCAACATGAATTTGACCAAACTCTGGGAGGCAGTGGAAGACAGGAGGGCCTGGTGTGCTCTGGTCCATGGGGTCACGAAGAGTCGGACACAACTTAACGACTAAAGAACAACAACTGTTGTTCTTGAGGGCCCCTGCAAGAATCCCAGCACAGACTCTTTGTCCGCTAGAAAGGCTATGCCTTCTGTTAGGCTAAACAACAGGATCTCAGCCACTATCGTAGGTCACATACTGGTTGAAGGTCTCCATTTCTTCTTGTACTGCAAACGACTGTGAAAAGTATCTGATGTGATGTTAATTTGGGGATCCTGGATCAATGGCTCCTTTCTTGAGCAAAGGACTGTTACCAAGGGAGTGAGCATAACAATCAGTCTGGAGGTCATCAATTCAATTCTCCAGGATAATCCCACTGGCTCAGGGAGAGGATCCACACTCTTGATGTGCTATTTTGCTAAGCTCTAAGATGATGGGTGAGCCTGGGGCCAAACAGAGGGTTGGGAAGCTGAAGATGTTTTGCTGGGTGTGTGTGGGGAGGGGGAGGTCAAAACAATGCTTCGAGTCAGAAAGCTTGTTGTTTACAAGACTTCAATTTCTGGGAGGTAAAAGTAGTTTTCTTGTGTGCTGGCAATTACTGTCAGGAATTATTTGAGCTGGAAGCTTCGCAGTGTTGATAGATATCACATCCAGATGAACTGGAGGAGCAATCTTGTGATGAACAAGAGATGACACAGATCTGATGAGCTTTATTTGAGTGCTATCTAATTTGTCATCTGTCTTTTCGGAAAAGAGACCGACACCGTATCTTCCACCTTTCTGTAATCATCTTTGTCATCTTGAGATAAAGGGACCGATCAGAGCCAGGACTGCCAACCGAAGGCCAGATAGCTCCCATGATGGAATTTGCAGCTACAAATCTCACGAAACTGATCTGTTGCCAAGACAAAGTGTGCAACCACTTTTTTGTTATCAAGTAAGGATTCCATTATGTTTTCTACTTTATTCAAAGAAGCGATTGATATCTGCTCGGGTAAACCTGTCGAGAGGTGATTCTAAGCCTAAAGATGCTTCACGATATGTGTTTCGTGCCATAAGAGTCTTCTTTTTCTAGAAGAGCTGGCAACAACTTTTTACCCAACAGATATGGCCTTAATGATGGAACTAGGCGTTAGATATTCCAAAAAACCAAACAAAAAAAAATCACAGGAATCATCCTGCACTCGCTCTCTCTCTACAGGCACAGGCTCTTCACATTAGATGTTGTTGTCTGTGTTTATTACGGTTTTCTTCCTGGTACTGCCAACAGTTATCACCAAAGAGGACAACGTGGGAAGAGCTATCAGCATTTTGCTGGGCCCATAACCAACCAGAAAGGTGGGATCCATCTGGAATGCCGGTCTGTCTCGATTCTGTTGCTTGACGATGTCATTTGCTGCATCCAAACAATCTGATCGGTGCTGTTCATCAGACTGCACCATGCAAATAAATAAAACACAAATAGCATCCTTTGCAGAACCAGCTAACTCAAGAGGACTCACCCACTGGGACAAAAAACAAAATTGTACCCTCTCTCCTCCCATGTATAGAAGAGCCTCCAGGAACAGTAACTGGCTCTCTCTTTAAAACTACCAATGGGACCCCAACCTCCACTGCACCAGAAGGATACACAACCCACATCAAGGGGTTGAAGAGCAGGCAACAGGGCACAAGCTTGATGCTTCAGTTTGACTCCCTATGGAGGGAGAACGAAAGGAAAGAATGAATGGACGGATGGATGGATGGACAGATGGGTGGGTGGATCAGACTTGGCTCCCAGAATTGTTCAGAAGACTGGGAGGACCTTCTCTCTTCTCTCCCTCTCACATTAATTCGCTCCTTGCACTAACAGCAATGTGGTGTAATGTCTGCACAGGTGTTCATGTTAACCACAATTAGCTTCAAATCAAAGTTTGCAATCAAAGTTAAGGAGCTTTACAAACTCTGCTCAAGTGTATTATTGCAGCTTGACAGATGCAGCAATTGTCATGGTTTCCCCTACCCCCACAAAATTCTAAAAGGCCAGACAATGCCAGAAAAGCCACTTTTTATCGATTTTTTAGTATAATGATCCCTACTATTCCCCCCCTTCCATCCCAAGGATGCACAGTTGCCAAAACTTCTTGAGGAGAAGGCTCAGTTTTCAAACCAGTTTGGACATTTAAGTTTATACTTACAGAGCCCACATCAAGGCATCAAACACACACACACACACACATGGAATGAATCCTTAAGAAGCTGTTTTCAACATGAAATCAGATTACCTTTGAGTGCAAGAGAAAATGTTCCCATCGAGTCCGCACTAGCTTCTCTTTATTGATCACTTTCAACGAGCTTTTCCCACCACCGTAGTCCCTAAGTAAAGAAACAAGTTAATGAGCTTTCACTTTCCACTGCCTGGCTTTTAACTACATGCTGCTTTTAGCTCCATTAGGGCTTAATCAGCTCCTGTGCTCAGGCACAGACTCTACCTTTAATGCCATGGTTAGAATACAAGAAACCACGTCTCTCTCTCTCTCAGTATCAAAGTATTTCTCTAAGTTTATGCAGCTCAATCACCACAACTCTGCCTACACCTAGGATTAAAGGCAACAGTCCCCAATGGTCAGGCAGGATAGTTTCTAGGGCAGCTTGTAGGGGCTCCCGATCACTCCCATCCTTATCTTGGAAGAGAGACCGCCAAATGGCAGCCCAGGAGTCAAATCCAACCCTCAGGCACCTTCGTTTGTCCTTCCCGTGATCCTGCCCATTTCCCAATAAGTCACTACAGGCTAAGAAAGATTAAAAAGTAAATCAAATGAGACCCAATTAGTTGAGAGGCACAGAATCCGAAATGCAGAACCCGGGAACCTTGATGCCCTCGGCCAAGAGAGTCCGACAACCACCTCCCCACCTTAGTGCCTTCCAAATGGATCGGGCTACGATTCGTGTGTTCACCGGACAGCATACCCTAATGAGCACTGTCCGTTTTGTTTCACTTTAAATCTGTTATAAGCCATTTCAAGAACTTCAGTTGATACTGTTTATTCAGGCAAAAAACAACACAGAGTAATGAAGTGATCAAGCCTTCCTGATTCCAGTCTGTTACTGCAGTGGCTCTAAATTTAAAAACGGTAAGAAGCACCCTGCTGGATTAGGCCAAAACACCCTGTTGGACTAGGCTTTTACTTCCCACAGTGGGAAGCTCATAGCAGAGTCTAAGAGGAATAGAGTTTAGAGACAGCAATCATGCGTGATCAGTAATCATTGCAGGCTATATTTTTTTATGGTTAAGAATTTTCTTTAATACAGTAGGATTCCTGTATTCATGGGGATAGGTTCAGTGATCAGTAATCATTGCAGGCTATACATATTTTTATGGTTAATTTTTATTTATTTATTTATTTATTTATTGGACTTATATACCGCCCCATAGTGCTACAAGCACTCTCCGTTAAGAATTTTCTTTAATTAGGATTCCTGTATTCATGGGGATAGGTTCCAAGGCCTCCCGTGGATGCTGAAAACCATGGATAATAGCAAACACTATACATAGCATGGTAAAAGGAAAAAAAAATCCAGAAATACATATTTTCCTCATGTATTACCAAAACTAGCCACTAGATGGAGACAAGAAACCATACTATGTATTCTTCAACAAGCATACATAGTATGGTCTTTGGTTCCCTCTAGTGAACAGTTCTGATAAATACATGTGAAAATACCTATTTCTAGTTTTTCTTAAGCGAAACCACAGATACTGATACCATGGATATGGGGGTCCTACTGTAATCTCCTTTGGGTCGATATAATCACACTTTGCAGAAACAAATTCCCCCCCCCATTTTGTGTTATAGTAATATACCCTTCCTTTGATCTCCCACTGCTCCCAAAGCTTTCTCTCTCCCACCCTGCAAGATCAGCCACTGCCCTGCCATCCACTTCACCTCTCTCATGCGCAGCCAGGCTTACTTGGCACTCCAGCACGTGATCAGTGGTTTCATGCTGCTGTTGGGTTCGATGGTCAAAGCTTCCAAGAGCCAGTGGAGGGCACACAGCTGGCGAAATATTGACTCGCTGCCAGAAGTAAAAGAAAGATGCATGGGCTGACTGGCAAAATAAAATACAATAAAAGGCTCTTATGTTCGGGGAAAACCCCTTTGACCACTGGGCCACAATCCAGAGAAGCAGAAGTGGGTTCTGGATTTGCGACTTTCAGAGAAAAAAAAAGGGAAAATACTTGTAGATAATTGTTTGGATGGTCCCGCAGGTTATCCCCACTCTTTCAATGAACCATTGTCTTCCATGTTTCGTTCTCCCACTTGTCTAAAGAGAGCGATACTGAGAAATTAAAAGTGCCCTCGAGCACAAAGGGAAAGTGCTTCCTTCGTACACCACCAAATTATAAGGGATGGTCTCTTCAAAGAATTAAGAAGCAGAGTTTACCCGTAGAGAAAATCACATGGAGCAGAAAGCATATTAGTGTTATATAACAGCAGAAAGTTTTTTAGTGTTAGAGAGAGGTGACTGGAGCAGTCTTTCAGGTTTGTAAAATCAGACTTTAGAGGAATTATAAAGACGGTCTCAGAGGCCTCTTTTGGGGAGAAAAAGGAGGCCATTACACACTCATTTCCTTCAACTATGAAAATGCAGGGTGAAAACTCGTGCTACGTTTTTGACAGCACACAGCTGTATCCCCCTCATCATTACATCTATGCACCCACAGGGTGGGCTAGGGTTACAGCGTTGGTCTAGGATCTGAATTCGAGTCCCCAGTGAGCCACAGGACCTTTCTGGGTGACCTCATGCCGCTCCCTCTCTCAGCCTCACTGACATCCCAGGGTGGTCGCTACGAAGATAAAATGAGATAAACC